CTGAGACAGAAAACCCCAGGAGGATGTGTGTTGGAGGAACCACCAACCCGAGGGCATGGCGTCTATGCTTACTGGAGAGGGACAGACACCCCAAATGAAAATCCAGCCACTACCAGTGTGCACAGCAGAACGGGAGCCACGGGGCTGTGCCTGCTCTCAGGTGGGTGCCCCTCTCACCACACCAACTGGTGGGGGTGGCTGGTGCAGATACCTCACACCTGGGGCCGCTGCACCTTTGCACCATCCATGGAGAACCCACCAGCACTCTGGGAACATCTCTGAGTGGGGCTGCCCAAGGACCACCTGGCAGAGGGTGGGTGGGTTGGCTGATGGTTTTCAAACAGCAGATGTCTGCAGGAACTTTAGAACTAGTGATGAGACAGTTCTCACTTCAGAGGACAGAGGCCCCAGGAGAACAAGGAAAGACGAGAGCCCAGTTTTCCCTCGGATGTTTTGATTTTGAGGAGGGGACATTCAGCATGACCTTGGCACCAACCCACCAGACTTCCTTAGAAAGCTAGCAAGACAAGTGTTAGCCTCGTTGCTGGGATTCATATCTTAAATATTAAATAAGAGGCACTGACGTTTCCTCGTAACTCTGTCTAGGGAGGTGACCGGCCTCTTGCACTGGCCCCGCCTGTGATGTAAGAGCTCTGAGACCTCAGAATAATGTGCACATTAGTTACCAGGAGTCCTGGCAGGAGAGGGGCTAAGACAGAGCTGTACGGGCGTCCCTCTCACACTGGCCGACACATCCACAAGCGGGTGGCATTTTCTCTGATGCAGTAGCACAGCGAGGGCAGCATGGAGGTTGCCTTTTGGAGATGTGTGCTGTAGACTTGTGCTGTGTGACTTGGGAGGAGTTCCTTGAGTTATCTGGGCCCCATTTCCTCATTTTAAGATTGGGGCCAGTGTCCACTACACTTTGCTGAGTTGTTTCAAAAATCTGTTATCTCAAGAGAATGACCTGAGCACAGGCAAGACAGGCTTGGCTGGAGAAGCTGCCTGCCTGGTGAAGAGGGCAGGCTGGTATTGACAATGTCTCCTGCCCAGGATGGAAGGCAATAGGGTTGGTGACGAGGGGGTCTTCATGACCCAAACCCCATGGGCCGCAAACCAGAGGCCAAAAGCTACCACACTGAGGAAGCTTACTTATTTTTCTGTATTAGAGTGTACAGTTGAACTGAAACTTCACTGCTGTCCCCTGCCCCATTTGGGATTCTCAGAGGTGGCTGAGGACCCAGACCACAACTGAGCAGTGCCTGCCTCCCTAGGAGGCTCAGAGGTCCTGGGAAGTTTCTTTCCCTGTACCCACAACAGTTGTTCCTTCTAAACTGGGACACCTGGTGCCCCCACTGCAAGAATTATGGACCCCCTTGCACAACTGCTAAAATACAAATTCTCCAGGTCTCTGATGAAGGGGAAAGACAAGGGCATTGTTCTAAGGGCCCATCAGTCACGTGCATACTAGCCTTAGAAAGGCTCTGAGGTGGCTGGGCATCATGGCTGACGCCTGTAATCCCAGCACTTTGGGAGGCTGAGGCTGGTGGATCACTTGAGGTCAGGAGTTCAAGACCAGCTGACCAACATGGTGAAACCCCACCTCTACTGAAAATACAAAAATTAGCTGGGCATGGTGGCATGCACCTGTAGTCCCAGCTACTTGGGAGGCTGAGGCAGGAGAATCACTTGAACCTGGGAGGTAGAGGTTGCAGTGAGCCGAGATTGTGTCACTGCACTCCAGGCTGGGCAACAAAGTGAGACTCTGTAAAAGAAAGAGAGAGAGAAAGAAAGAGAAGGAAGGAAGGAGAAAGAGAGAGAGAGAGGGAGGGAGAGAGGGAGGAAGGAAAGAAAGGAAGAAAGAAAGAAGAAAAGAAAGAAAGAAAGAAAGAAAGAAAGAAAGAAAGAAAGAAAGAAAGAAAGAAAGAAAGAAAGAAAGAAGGAAAGAAAGAAAGAAAGAAAGAAAAAGAGAGAAAGAGAGAGAAAGAAAGAGAGAGAGAAAGAAAGGCTCTAAGCTTGGTAGCTAGAGCCCAGAGCCAAAAGGAAATCCCATGTAGTCCAAGCTCTGCCACCTCCTAGTCACGTGACCCAGGACATCGATCCCTTTCTGCCCTGGATTCCCATCGATAACACAGGATGCTATTGCACAGCGCTAAGGACAATGTCCCACCCACATTTGGCCACACAGCCAGCACCTTCAGGTGCTGCTAACGTTAGTAGAAAACATAGTTCCTTTCCCGAGAGCCTGTTTTGGGGAGCCAGCGAGAGAAACCTGCCTGGGGAGAATCCTGGAGAGAAGGCAGCTCAGGTCTGGGAATATGTGGGTGGAAAACCCTAGCAGCGGCATGCTTGGCCTTCCCGCCCACCATTCAAGGGCATCTGGAACATTCTTCATTTGTGGTCTTGGCTTAGAGGGTGGGCAGCTAGCATGGTGAGGATCTGCATCCCCACCCACGGTTCATGTTGAATGTGACCTCCGTGTCGGAGGTGGGGCCTGGTGGGAGGTGGCTGGATCACGGTGACGGATCCTCCATGACTGGTTTAGCACCATCCCCTTGGTGCTGTCTCATGGTAGAGTCCTCGCTAGATCTGGTTGACTAGAAGTCTGTAGCACCTGCCCGGACCCCTTCCTCCTGCTCCAGCCATGTGAGACGTGTCTGCTTCCCTTTGGCCTTCCACTATCATTGTAAGTTTCCTGAGGCCTCCCCAGAGGCCAGTGTTGCCATGCTTCCCATACAGCCTGTGGAACCACGAGCCAACTTCGTTTCTTATGAATGAGCCAGTCTCAGGCATTTCTTTATAGCAGTGTGAGACCGGTCTAATGCAGAAATAGTGATGGGTCCATGGGAGGGTGTTTCCTGGGGTGAAGACCAGAGGGACCAGGAAAAACCTTCACACAATAACGTTTGTTGAATCGAATTGAACTGGATGGGAAAACCGTGTGCTTCCCCAGGGAAGCAGCGTTCCTCATGCTAGAGGAAAGGAAATGTACTTCAGACGGGAGAGAAGATTCCTCCCATGGTCTGCAACCTCTGTAGCTAACAGGGGCATGAAGAGAGAGGGCTGGTTCCCCTAACACCGCCGGAGCTGGGGAAGTTGGTGGTGGCCTCCGGGGAGGCTGGCCAGTGTGGCGGCATGTGGTGGGAAGGTGCCCCAGAGCTGGCCTCACTCCACGTGGCCTGGGCAAGTCAGGTCTGTGGAGGAATTTTCCGTTTCCTCCATTTGAAGTTACCGTGAAGCAGGCTTCTCTCATGTAAAGGTTTTTGCAAGAGAAGTAGAGAGAGAGCAACAACAACAAAAAATGAAAACGCAGTCATCGGCTCAAGAAATACTTGGACGAGGGAAGACTTGTTCAGTTCTGCCTCCTGAGTGGCCGGGTCCTGCCAGGTGAGGCGGAGGCAGGGAGAACACACGGGTGAGGGAGCAGTGCCTGCATGAAAGCGCAGCGTGGGGGCCCAGGTCAATCCCAGCCCCCTGCATCACCTCCCTAACCACGGGCACCTCTAGAGCATTGGAGGCAGCAGTCACACACCCTGCCAGATAAGCCTTGTGGTCCCTTCTCTTCTTCTTTTATTATTTATTTATTTATGTTCGAGGCAGGGTCTTCCTCTGGAGTGCAGTGGGGCGGTCTCGGCTTACTGCAACCTCCACCTCCCGAGCTCAAGCCATCCTCCCACCTCAGCCTCCCGAGTAGCTGGGACCACAGGTGTGCGCCAATATATCTGGCTTATTTTTGTGTTTTTTGTAGAGATGGGATCTTTCTATGTTGCCCAGGCTGGTCTTAAACTCCTAGGCTTAAGTGATCCTCCCACCTTGGCATCCCAAAGTGCTGGGATTACAGGCATGTTCTTTGTTGGAAAAACCTCAAAATTTTTACAAAAGTCACAGTCTTGGTGTTTCCCACTAACGATCCTGCCTCCACCACGCCTGTCATTCATTTGTAGTGGACTACGTGCAGACCCAGGAAAAACAAGTCAACAGGGCAGATCAGCTTCCAAAGGTCATACGCAAGTCGGGGCTGTGGGCCTGAGCAGTGAGGTATGTGGGTGCATTGTGGTGTCCATGCCACATGTGACAACCCCTGCGAGTGACAGGTTTCAGGGACACTCAGCGGAGGACAATCATTAGGCTCTGTCAGCGACCGAGGGTGTCGGACCCTGTAGCGGGGCCTCTTGTGCATCTTCTATTTGAATCTCACACCCTGTACGTGGCCAGGACTGTTACCACATTTCCTTTTACAAATGAGGAAACCAAGGCATCAAGAGGCTCAAGACCTTGCCTGGGCAGCTCAGAGAGTGAGTGGCAGAGACAGGATTTGTGGTGGGCACCTGGGTCTTGCGGTCACCTGTGTCGCACACTGGTATCATGAAGCCAGTCCAGCGAGCGTGTGAAGCAAGCAAACCTTCACCAACCTGCCTATAGTTTCCCCTCTCTGCCTGCTCGTGGCTGCCTTTTCAGAAGGGAGGCTGCACACCCCGTAAAGGGCCACAAAGCACAGATGCACACAAATCTACCCTTGGCCGAATGCCACTCTGCCGTCCCCGTCACCGTGGGTGGCCAAGGCAGGACCCACGCGTCAGACGCACCGACTCCGCACCCACCTTCCTGCCGGCCTGCGCCTCCTATTCGTAGAACACCCGGTAGCTGAAGTTGTCGGACTGGATTTTAAAGTTGTATCCCCCATTCGTTCTCTGGTAGTGCACGATCAGAAAGGTGGCTGCTCCCACCACCAGCACAAAGATGGCCACCACAGTGAGGACCACATAGCCAGTGCCCAGGTCTGCTTCTGCATGCGGAGGCACACCTGGGGGAGGAGACAGCCACAGGTGAGAGATCTGCCTGAATGGGAGGAAGGCGATAGACAGTGTGTGTTTTATCGTCCTGGTGAATCGAACCTTTGCCATTGAGTCCTGACACTCTATTTACTGCTCACGGTTTTGCCTTTATTTTTCTGATATTTACATGTATTTGTCAGTTTATGTTTTCCTACTATTTCTCTTCTCTCTTTTTATTTTTTATATAAAAATGTCTAAACATAAAAGTAGAGAGAATTGTATACCAAACTACAATGATACATCTTCAAGAATCTGCAGAAAATCAACTTTTGTATTTTAAACCTGTTTTTAAAGAGCTAAGTTGGCTTTTGAATTTTCTATCCCAGAGACGTTTTTCAAAGAACCAGACCATTCACTCATTCTACCTATGTCTGATTTCTAACTCAGTGACTTCTACTTTTATCTGTGTTGTTTCTTTTTACTTTTTTGCCATGTATAAGGTTGTTTTTTTTAATTTCAATTATTCTACTCTCCATTTCCAAAATTTTTCAGGTGATTTTCTTTTCGTATCTTTTTCCTTCATTTAACTCTCTACCCAGATCTGGGGCTGATGGATCTGAAGCTTGGGGAATGTGAGGCCCACGTATGCACCTGTGTGGCTGTGGGTTATTAAAGGGGAGGCAGGTGTCCACACCCAGGACAGCACTGCAGTGAGGACAGCGCATGGGGAGGACTGGGCCATCAGGGGGTGCTGAGAGAGCCAACAGGTCTTCCTGTGGTGGGGGGAGAGCCCAGCCTGATTCTGTGCATGGAGACACAGGTTGGGCCTACACAGGCTCCGCAACACAGAGGAATGGGCCGTCCCCAGGCCCAGAGAAGCAATTGAAAAACAGTGTGGACCCTAAAAAATGTGAAAACAGGGACTCCAACAGCTACTTGCTCATCCATGTTCACAGCACCAGCCAAAGGGTGGCAACAACCCAAATATCCACCAACTGGTGAATCAGTCAACACAACGTGGCCCCGGCATGCAATGGAAGGTTACCCAGCCAGGGGAGGAATGGCGCCAGCCCACTGCAATGTCAGTGAGCCTTGAAGACGTCACGCTGAGTGAAAGACGCCAGGCGCCAGAGGCACATGCAACATGATCCTGTTCATAGGAACTGCCCGGAACCGGACAGAAAGCCGAAGGGCGATTTCCAGGGAGGACGGGAGGGCAGATGGGGAGTGAGTAGTGAGTGCGAAGCCGCATTTAGGGTGAGGAAAGCATTTTGAAACTAGATGGAGTTGGTGGCTGTGCAACATTGTCAATGTACTAAACACCACTGAGTGATTTACTTTAACATAGACAGCTTGAGGTTACATGAATTTCATCTCAATTTAATTTTTTTTTTTTTTTTAAACAGAGTCTTGCTCTGTCGCCAGGCTGGAGTGCAGCGGCACGATCTCAGCTCACTGCAACCTCTGCCTCCCAGGCTCAAGCGATTCTTCTGCCTCAGCCTCCTGAGTAGTTGGGACTACAGGTGCCCACCACCATGCCCAGCTAATTTTTGTATTTTTAGTAGAGACAGGGTTTCACCATGTTGGCCAGGATGGTCTCGATCTCTTGACCTTGTGATCCACCTGCCTTGGCCTCCCAAAGTGCTGGGATTACAGGTGTGAGCCACCACACCCAGCCTTAATATTTTTTTTAAGCTGAACTGCCTGAGAAAGATGCCAGCCATCTGCCAGCTCTCTGGCCAGCCCCTATCAACCCAGGGGGAGAGGTGACCCCTCTCCACTTGGTGGCCCTGCCCTGGGGAGTGCACCTTGTAAGGGTGTAACTCATTGTCAAGGGCATCTATAGCCAGGTCACAGCCACATCCTGCAACATGTTTGTCCCCACCCAGACCCCTCCAACTTGGGGTGTTCATCCCCACATGTCAGGAAGGTCCACTTTGGAAAGAGCCTTCCTGGACAACCAGGAGCACTTGAGATCGCATTTTCATTCCCCGTATTGATTTCCAGGCAGTCTGCGCAGAGTGGATGCGGCTTTGGGTCCCCCGAGAAACAGCACGGGGGCGTCACCATCAGCAAAGCTGTTTAGCAATGGCACTGGAGGATCCCCGGGGTGCTGAACAGTAAGCTGGCTAGAACCAGACCACCCCTCCAGAGAGAGGAACAGGGAACTCCCCCTCCTCCAGCCATAGTGACTGCAACCTCCCCAAGGAACTAAGCCGCCCAAACCCCGGCTGGCCACCTCCCCAGACAACTCCTAAATCACGATGGCCCCTAAATCCAACCCCCAAGAGCTCTCTAGTGGACCTTCCTCCTGTGTCTTGAGTTACGGGCCACCTTGCCAGCACAAGGAGGGATGTCGCCCTGAGAATGCTGGAGCAGAAAGACCAAGGAGACCCAATCCTGCTGGCCCCTTGCAGCCTGGAATGGCCCCAGGCTGTCAGCCCCGGGAAAGACCCATCCCTGTTCAGTCGCCACTTCTCCAGCTAGGTTTCTGTGACCTGCAGCTGTGTGCTCCTAACTGATCCACTAGCTCAGGGCTGGCCACAGTGGGGCTGCAGACCAGTGCTGCCCAGTGACTGACATCAAAGTCCAGGAATGGCTACTCCCCATGGTGAGATTAGCTAGAAATGGAGAAGAAGCCCTGAGAATCGTGGATCTCAGTTCCCCACAGCCATTGGCAAGGTCCTGCAAAACAGGGCATCTCTGTGATCAGAGAGGCTCCTTGCCTGTGGCGTGAGCTGCGTGTGCATCATGACCGTCGGGCCACATGTCAGTCCATGGTGCGCGGGAAAATTAAATGATGGCCGGGACTCTGAGCCATGGTTGCTTTTGTAAACAGGAATATAACCCAGTGAGGGAAAGGGAAGAATTCAGGTGGGGCTTAGAACCTAGATGACAGGTTAATGGGTGCAGCAAACCACCATGGCACATGTATACCTACGTAATAAACCTACACATTCTGCACATGTATCCCAGAACTTAAAGTAAGATAAAAAATTAAAAATAAAAAAAGAACCCAGGTGCAGAGGAAACAGGGCCCTTCCAGGGGTCAGAGTTCCAGTTCAGCCACTGCCTTGGGCTCCTCAGTCTCCTCACTGCTGAGCGGCCTCAGGAATTGCTGCAGGCCCTTCCTGCCGGGACACTGAGCACTCCCTGGACACTGTCCTCAAACTTTCTCTGCCTTTCGGCACAGGGACATTCTCATGAATGTGAAATAATTGGGGAAGCTAGGAAAGGAAACACCGTGGAAGATTTCCAAAAAATGAATGCAGAAATTATGATGCTGATATGCTATTTGTTGGTAGTATACATTCAGGGAAGATGCCCAAATGGATGCTTTCTTAAACTGTCAATACACTGGGTTATCTCTGTGTTGAATTGAGAACCCCTCACCTTCTGCAAAAACAGATATATTGAAATCAAGTGGCCATACTGCCCAAACTAATTTATAGATTTGATGCTAACCCCATCAAGCTACCAATGACTTTCTTCA